TACATGAGCTTTTTGCTTCCAAAACAGTTCTTCCAAGTGAAGTTGGTGTAGATATTGAGCATCCACAGATTTGAAATGCATCAAGTTCTCATCAGTAGGTGCAATCTGATGTTTCCTCAGCTTCCTGGACTTTTTTATCCAAAGCCTCAAGTTTAGTGAAAATGTTTCCAAAGACCTCTTTATTCCAAATGTTCAAAGCTTTTCTGGTAGCAAGTAGTTTGGTAGAGAATTGGGTCATGGGTGGACCAGAGCCCTCCATAGACCAGGCTTTTTGAACAACACGAATAAAATTAGGGTGAGTTGTCCATGCATGAAGAAAAGAAAACTGTCTAGGGCTTTTAGTTTGAGTATCACAAGTAACAGAGATTTGAAGGGGAGAGTGATCAGAAGTAGTTAAAGATAGTACTTGAACAGTAGTTTTAAAACTGTCTGCCCATGCTTGATTCACCAACAGCCTGTCCAAGCGTTTCCAAATAGAATGAGTACCTCTTCTACCATTCCACCAAGTAAAGGAGTTACCATAGGTAGAAACTTCCAGTAAGGCACAGTTTGTAATACATTGTTGAAAGTCCCAGCTGGCAGTTACTGATAAGGGCAATCCACCGAGCTTTTCATGTGAATAGAGACTACAGTTGAAGTCCTCTACAACAGCCCAAGGTTTAGTTTCTGTATGGGCCTGAGAAAATTGCATCAGTGATTTCCATAGCTCCTTTCTCAACCAGCTCTTAGTTTTTGCATATACAAAAGCCATACTCACAAGTTGTTGGTTAGAAAGGTGAAGAACATCCACATAGATTACCTATTCTTCATCAGCAATGATACTAAGCTGGTATGTGTCCTTCCAGAAAATCCATATCTTCCCTTGACAACCAACAATGTGATGAGGAAAACCAAGGTGTCTTCCAGTAGTTGAACAAGCAGCATCTGCTCCCCTAAAAGGCTCAATCAGACAAATAATATTAGGATGATATTTAGATACCAGATGGTGTAATCTATCAAGGGACCCTCTGGTAAAAATCCCTCTTACATTCCACACAAGTGTGGAATCCATCAATTAATTTGAGAAGGGGAAGAAGTTCTGGCCTTGCCAGACTTCTTAGCATTAGGTGGTTTTGGTGGCTTAGCTTTTGAAGTCCCCTTTCTAGTATTTGCAGCAGGAGTGTCAAGAGGAGTATCTTTTAAGAGTTTTCTTGCTTTATCATCCAGTATTGGAGAGGAAAAGGAATCTTCTTCGCCTATTGGACTTAAGTAACCTTCATCAGACCACATCTCCTCAGTATCTTCCTCTATAGTTTTTGGACCAGGGTCAAGTTCCTCCAACATAGCACTTTTGTTAGATGGAATAGTATTTGCTGAGGTGTTTTCAGCACTCTTCAATTGTTCTGGTGGGTGGGGTATAGGTAGGACAGGAAATTGTACTCCATGCTGATCAACAGGTTGCAGTTCCACCTGTTGCAAAACACTAAGGGCAATTTGTGAAGGGTGGAATTCC